GGGGGTAACTGCCCAGATGAGACGGGGGAGTGTGTGTACCAGTGTACATGTTATGACTGTACACCCCCGGTTAGGAAGAAGTGAATGAACTGGAACCGGCTGAATGTAATTGTATGAACACGATTTACAGGGTTAGTAGGTTAAATATAGATCAATAATCATTGGGCCTGTCGATAATGGTTAGGTCGATGGCGAGGTCGTGACATCCGATACGATCGGGTTGCGGAATGATTTGAGCTCTCATCACATGTAACAAGTAGTAAGATTTGGAATGTTTCCAACCGAGTCATAACCCTGCAGGCTATCGGTGAGATGAGCGAGGTCTAATGCTGGCCCTCAAAACTTGCAACTATGAGTTGCGCAATATATCAGGTAAAAGCAGAAGAGAAAAAGTTTGAGCAACTGCCCCGTTGTCAAGTGGATAGTATACTTGCACCCTACCGATTCCGATTCTCAGTCGATGGGTCCATTGGTTTGCAGTGCTGATAAGACCCAACCAGGTCGAACAGCAGCTAGACACTGAATGCTTCCTGACTTTTCAGTTCGCATTTCTTCATATCACAGAATCAAATCCTCCGCTACTGTAGTAGACAGCTTTGGTCAGAAGAAGCCTTTTAGATTCCCAAGTGGGTCATCTATGATTAATTTCATTCAGTCAACCAGAAAAAAAGACGTCTTGTCCCCCCCCCCCGCGCCCAATACCAGGAAACGGAAACACCTTCATTGATATTGAGTGGCCACATGCATTTGTGTCCACCGGTGGAATTGAACTGCTGGTCACAAACATTTCTGATAAATTGGGCAGTATGGATTCCAGGAACAGCCATCGAACGAGTCTATCTTCTGGTGAGCACATGTGCGTAGACAACCGACCGCCACCCCCCTCAACTCTGACTTCAACAAGAGGTAGGGAAATGTGTGCTGCATGCTGGTCATCCATACATTGCTGTGAGGCTCGAGCAGTACGTGGACCCGGCAGTGTTGAAGACATCGTAAGACAACTTGCATTGAGACCCGGACATCTTGATCTCATGCTCGGACAACTTGAATCACAGAAAAACGAACAACGAACTGAAGATTGATCGGTAGTTATGACATCATCATACAGTGAAACAAGTTCGATCGATTGAGGGCGGTCACTAGTAAGGCCGCACCACATAGGCTTTTGCAAATTGTTTGGGGAGATTCAAAGCAAGCAGTTTTAGTCTTTATTTATTTTATAGGAAAACGTAGTACGGCCATCGTTGGTCACTGGACCAAGGATACACAAAAGAACGACGAGATTGAGAGAGAGACAGCGAGAAAAATAAATCTGTACTTTAATTACCCTGTCATTGCTCGCGATTAAATCACAAACAAGCAGTAGAACAGGGAGAAACGTTTACAGAACGGAAATTAGCTAACAGTAATGAAAAAATTGCATGCATTCTAAAGCGGGATGTGAAACATTATTGCGCCAAATTTTAATGTTGTAATTTGTTCAAGTGAACAGTGATCAATGTTTTCAGGGAAAAATTTTCGCGTTTCAGTGTTACATTTTAATTACAAGGTATCAATTTAAATTGGTGATCATTGTAAAACAAAAGCAGTAACTTAAAGTATTCATACGGTAAGCACATCGCAAGCACTCTAGAATAACTCACAACACAGTGGGTCTTACTCAGGTGGTTTAACGGGTAGTTGAACTATTTGGAAACTGGATGTTTTCTGAAACACATCTGCCAGGTTAGGTTCCACGGTGAACTAGAACCCCACTTGGACGACGAGCATTCCAGCCAATAATACCAGTCCACACCACATCCAGTGAGGGAGATCTGTCGAGCTTTGAAAAATGTGTCTGTCCAGTGTTGGCTGGCTTTCAAATATCATCATCATCAACACCATCATCATCATGATCATCAT